ACACTGCGCTCCATGCCTCTGGATGATCTCTCCCAGCGGCTTCATATAAATTTTAAATAACATCGGAGACAGGATGGCGCCCTGAGGGACGCCACAATTAGTTCATTAAATGATGTGTACCTGGATTCTTAAAAGCCTAAATACCCTAAGGCCACCAGATCCTATTTGATTTTGGGAGCTAAGCAGAGTCAGCCCTGTTTAGTACTTGGATGAGAGACTGCCAATGAATACCAGGTGTTACATGTTATATTTCAGAAGAAGGAATTGGCCAAATCACTTCTGAGGATTCCTTGTCTAAGAGTGCCATAAGTCAATAAGTGAGTTGAAGACACATACACACACTTGTATTCTTGGCACTGAAGAAGAATGCTCTTTTAAGCAAGTATTGAGGATTTCTCTGTTGTCAAATGAACCCATTTGATCCAGAAATAGTAACTACCATATTTTCCGGCGTATAAGACGACTGGGCGTATAAGACGACCTCCCACTTTTCCAGTTAAAATATAGAGTTTGGGAAGAGTATGACTTCCAAAACTGTTGTTGTTGTTGCTGTGCACCTTCAAGTCATTTCCAACTGATGATGACACTAAGGCAAACCTACCATGAACCTCCTTATACCCGGCGTATAAGACGACCCCCCCCACTTTAACCCCAGATTTTGCAGGTTAAAAAGTAGTCTTATACGCCAGAAAATAAGGTAAATGTGATGCATGTCCAGGGATATACCTATGAGGGGCGATGAGGGCATTACACCCCAAATAAGAATTCTGTCTCCAAAGAAATTTTCCTTCAGCCCCCAAATTTCTACCATTGCAGTAACTTAAAACCTCCACTGAGCAATTATAGAAATACAGTTTAGGCATCCAAAGAAAAGGGGCAAGAAAGTCACTAAGAGAATTCAAATACTGTAAATACAAGAATTCAAGGCAAATGTCAGAGACATTTTCATTTTCTCAGCCTGCAACGCAGAGACTGAAGAAAAAGTTCATTAGGGCCAGAACTCTCATTTGGAGGGGTAAGGCCCTCATTTCTCTCCCCGCCCCCCATATGTACACTTTTGGGTGTAGCCTGTAGCCCGACATGACTAACCCATTGATACTGTATGTTTACTCTAGCTGGGTCTAACAGTAGGAACCAGATTTGTGTATATACACAGAGAGAGACATTGGGGAACAAACATAGTTGTAGTTGGCAGTGCAGAAATAATCCAATTTGACACCACTTTAACTGCCAGGGCTCAATGCTATGGAATTCTAGGAATTGTAATTTGTTGTGGCGCCATAGCTCTCTGACAGAAGGCTAAAATGTCTCACAAAACTACAATTCCCAGAATTCCATAGCATTGAGCCCTGGCAGTTAAAATGGTGTCAACTGGATTATTTCTGCAGTGTGGATGGAGCCTGAGACTTTGCTGAAGTCATGGAGGTGTTTGCACACAAGGTAAAGCCCAGACCTAACCCAGTATATTTTGCTGCTTCAGGCAAAGCATTAAATGCTTCCAACTCACTGAAATCATATGTTGTACTCCTAACCATTTCAAAAATAAAAATAAAACTCAAAAAGAGAACAAAACCAGTCATCATACCAAAATACGATTTAAACAACATTTCCACAGAATTCATTGACAATATAAGGACCAGATTTGCAGTACTAAGTATAATAGATCGTGAACGGGAAGAGCTTTGGTCTGAAGCCAGGGACATAATAAAAGAAGAATGCATAAAGATACTTCCAACAGACAAAAGGAGAGTGAAGAAACCATGGATGACAGATAAAATGCTACAAGCAATAAAGGAAAGAAGAGAAACAAAACAAAAAGGAACAAGCATATCTGTAGTGTTGGGGTTTTCAGTCTTGTCAAGTTGGACATATGTGAAAGCCTAGAAAATCTCTGAAAGACTTCAGACATTTTACCCTATATATTCCTTCATTTTTTGGGGGGGGGGGGGGTAGAGGCTTATTCCCCTCTATTACTGACAATCACAAATTTTGCCTCTAATATCAGTGTTGCAAAATGTGTCCTATAGTCCATATGTAGATGTGATGCCCCTCAATTATGCCTTATATGGTTACATTATTTCTTATATTCCAAATTAGCAACAGAACTCACCCTCAAGTAGAGTACCATGGCTTAATTTCACAACCATGCAGCCTCAGAGAAATCAAGAGATGAAAAACACATGGATTTATGGTTTTGTTTTTAGATGTTGCCATCGAAACTGGGCATGCATCATGTTTAACAAAATTCACTTCTTCAGAATAAGAATGTCAATTATTTAAAATGGCTATCCTTTGAAATAAGGATGTTGTTGAATAATGTTTGGCCGCTTAGAGTTATTGGGCTGCAACTCCCACCAGCCCTGGTCAGAA